GCACATCTGGGCAGGGCACATCTGGGCAGGGCACATCTGGGCAGGGCGCGCAGGCGCGGGGGACGCCTCGCCTGTGCCCCCCGCCCTTTTCCAGCAGGCAGCACCCCCTTCCCGGCCGGCAGCACCCCCGGCCGGGGCTCTGCGCGCCCGCGGAGCGCTGCGCAGGGACACGGGAGGGGTCCATCCCTCCTTCCCCCGGGGAGGAGCCGCGGCTCCGCCGTATTTACCGGGGTGGGCGGTGGCTGCCGGGCCGGGCCGGGCTCCATCCTCCCTCCTCCCGCCCCCCGGTGCCGGTGACTGGGGCGGGCGGAGCCGCGGCGGCCCCATTGGCTCCGGGCATCACATGCGGCGGGGCCGGGCCGTGCCGGAGCCGTGCCGGGCTGGGCTGGGCTGGGCTGGGCACGGCGAGCGCTCCCGCGGCGGGCACGGCAGCAGCGCAGAGCCCCTTCCCAGCCCAGCCAAGGGACCGCGACCACCGCGGCCGCCCCCCCCCCGCCGCCCCGGCCATGAGGTCGGGCCGGAGAGACGGCACCTGTGCGGGGAGGTGAGCGGAGCCCCGGCGCCTTCCTCCTACCCCCGAGCAGCCACCGCGGCGGGGGAAGCGCAGGGGGTGGAGGAAGGGAAAAGGATTTTTATTTTTATTTTATTTTATTTTATTTTATTTTTTTTGTAATACATCAACATATTTTTGCTGCGATCAATCCCGATCCCGCGACTGAAGCCCCCGGAGGGAGAAGTGCTGCGCGCTGTGATGCGTCTTCCTCTCGCCTCGGCTGCCAGTTTGGATTGTAGCGCCCGGCTCCGTGCACTGCGAGGATGGCTCGGTTTGGGGATGATCTGCCGACCCGCTATGGAGGTGGAGGGCCGGCCGGGGCTGGAAGAGGGAGCAGCCGGCAAGGTGGCCCCCAAGCCGGCCAAAGGATGTATAAGCAGTCGATGGCTCAGAGGGCCAGGACTATGGCTCTCTACAACCCCATCCCTGTCAAACAGAACTGCTTCACAGTCAACAGATCCCTCTTCATCTTCAGTGAAGATAATGTTATACGGAAATACGCCAAGCGAATAACAGAATGGCCATATCCTTTCAGGGAGGCTGTGTGGGCACGGGGGGGGGAAGGTGGGGAGGGGGAGAGGGAGGTTGAGGGGAAGAGACCCCTCTGGGCAGTGCAGGATGAGCGTCTGCAGCTAATGCAGACGTGCATGTGTGAGCCAGGGTGTGCGGTGGGTGTGTGTGCCACGGATCCCTGTGCCCGACAGAACGCACGGCCGTGTCCATGGGGATCACAGGGAGCTGCTCCTGTGGGCACAGCAGAGGGTGTTTTGGGGGTGCCTTATGCCAGGGCTGTGTGTCAGACATGCCAGTGTGTCTTTAGGTGTGAGCTGGACATGTAGATTTACGTTCCCTACAATTTAAGTCAGCTGCAAAGGGTTCTCTGAGGTTCGTGCCAGTGAATCCTGATTCTTATTTCCATCTTGGAGCCTTCCAACTCTTCTGTCTCACTCTGAATAGCAGAAGGGATAAAGATGGTGACACCTTAGCATTAAAGCTGCATTGATAGTAGGGACACTGATAACCCAGGTACCTGGTAAATCCCAGGAATACAATCATTGCAGCTCAGGTTTAGCACATCCCCTAAACCTGAATCCATTAGAATCAACATGAATCATGGCACTCTGATTAGGTGCGTAGTCTAAGCTTAGGCTGTACTAAAAAAAATAATATTAGCAAAGCCTTGAGGCAGAGGGAGGCAGTGAGTGGGGAGAGGGATCATCTGCTGTGTGGTGAAAGGGGCAGATGCTTTCTGTCCCAGCCCCAGCTCCCAGGCCGAGTGATGATCCTCAGAAGGGGGCTTTGCTGGGAATGCTGGTTGTAAGCCATGAGCAAAGGGGAGCAGAGTGTCTGAGGCCACCAGGGAGTAGCTGATGTGTGTGTGTGTACAGGAGTGCATCGCACTGGGGGTCTCAAGGGAGCCGGCTGTTTTCTTTTCATTTGATATCACACCCCTGTTAATCCCCAGCTAACGGCAGCCAGGCCTCCTCCCAGCCTCCTAGCAACACTTTCAGTTGCCACAGAGGCCAGCTCCTGTTTAGGCTTCCCCTGTTTTCACTTCCTGAGGGGCTCACAGGAAAAATACACCCATGGAGCGAACGCACTTCCCTTCTCCCTGAACACACACGCACGTATTGATCTTTCTGTCCGTGTTATACAATCCCAGGGATTGCTGTGCTTCCTGATCCATTTCTCCTTCCCTGCATTCCAGCGTGGATAAACAAGCCCCAAAGCCCCGGCGGCAGGCAGAGCATCGCCCTGCCCGCGAGGCCGGGCGCAGTCTGTCCCTCCCCTGCCTCTTGGGCCACTCGGCTGCGTCTTTCCCGGGGGTGTGGGGAGGGGATCCACGGCGCTGCGGAGCCGGTGGGATTGGCGGAGCCACCGGGACCGGAGGAGCCACCGGGACCGGCGGAGCCACCGGCCCTTCCCCGCGGGGCCGCCGGGCGGGCGGGGCCGGGCGCTGTCCGCGGTGCTGAGCCGAGCTTTGGGGGTGTAGAGCCGAGCTTTAGGGGTATAGAGCCGAGCTCTCCGCGGTGCTGAGCCGAGCTTTAGGGGTGTAGAGCCGAGCTCTTCGCGGTGCTGAGCTGAGCTGACCGCGGTGCTGAGCCGAGCTCTCCAAGGTGTTGAACCGAGCTCTCTGTGACGCTGAACCGAGCTCTGTGTGGTGCTGAGCGGAGCTCTCCGAGGTGTTGAGCCGAGCTCTCTGCGGTTTAGAACCGAGTTCCCCGCGGTGCTGAGCTGAGCTCCCTGCGATGTTGAACAGAGCTCTCCACAGTGCTGAGCTGAGCTGACCGCGGTGCTGAGCCGAGCTCTCCACGGTGCCAATTGATGCTGTCCTTGGTACCACGCCGAGCTCTCCACGGTTCTGAACCTGGTGCTGAGCTGAGCTCCCCGCCGTCCTGAGCTGAGCTCTCCGTGGTGCCGAAGAAATACTCCCTGGTGCTGAGCAGAGCTCCCCGCTGTGTTGGACTGATCTCTCCCTGGTGCTGAGTCTCTCTCCCCGTGGTGCTGAGTCTCTCCCCATGGTGCTGAGTCTCTCCCCATGGTGCTGAGCCTCTCCCCGTGGTGCTGAGCGGATCCATCTCCCACCCCCAGGCCCCACTGCTGTACCTGGTGCGGCTCCGCCCTGGGAGAGCCGGGGCTCGGCACAGCTCGGGGCTGGAGACAACAGCAAAAGGGGGGACCCGGTGCTGGGTTGGGATCCTTCCCCTGGGATTGCTTCCCTTCTACATCCCAGCAGGGCGCTGGTGATTTTATTCTCACTGGGAGAATTGCAATCCAGCAGTAATTCACGTTTTGGACCTGTGTAGACACTCTAAATCAAACTTTTCCAGCCCATCACTTTATTTGCACTATGTGTTGAAGGGAAATGTTTCTGAAGGACAATTCAGCAGATAGTGCTCAGCTGTATAATCTATTCTGAGGCAGTTCAGTTTATCAATCTCATTTTAAATCTATAATTATTAATAGGTTTTTGTTTCCTCTGGACCTTTTGCTTTCTTACTCCCAAATTCCTTGAGCAGCTCTGATTCTGTGTAAAACTCTAACTCTCTCAAAGAAGAGAGCCAATTGCCTACTTTTCTTCCAAACACAACCCAGAAAGAACTGAGGAAGTCAGGGAGACTGAATGCCTTCAAAAATATGAGAAATCTTAGAATGCTCAATTAATGTGACTGTGGGGGTAGAAATGGGATTTGGATGAGATTCTCCTTCTGTTGTCCAGTGTCTTCTTTAACTTTTTGGTCCTCACTCCATTTGAATACATGATTTTAGCTACAATCATAGCCAATTGTATCGTGTTGGCTCTGGAACAACATTTGCCGGATGGAGACAAGACGCCGATGTCGGAGAGATTGGTGAGTTGCATTTATTTATGTGCAGTTTTTGTTCTGCTCTGATGCAGAAAACACTCAGCCCCCCAGTGCTGGGAGTGCTGGCATCTATTTTAAAGATCCACATGTAAACAAACAGGCATTGATCTGCCAATCACAAAAAAAAATCACTCAGTGCCAACGAGAACAACTCTCCCCTCCTGATCCCATCTGCACAAATGCTTCATCACTCCAGCCAGCCCTGCCCAGTCGCAGGAGAGGAGATGGAGCTTCCGTTCTCATCAGAAGAGCTGCAAACTTATGTTATCTCTAAACCAAGACAAGAAAGGACTGATAAATGCTTAGAATTATCTCTAGAATCAAATAAACTTCTGTGATATTGTCCCAGGGAGTGGTAGAACACAGTAACCTTTTAGGTTCAAGTGTCTCTTCCTGCCACTGTGCATATGAAGGATCCTACAGAGAGAACTTTGGGATTAGATGATTGCACTTCCCTTCCAAAAAAACCGAAACCAACTTACAGAGGAAAATAATTTCCCTGCAGGCTTTATGGTAATGAGCCCAATTACCTTATTTCAAAAGAAAATAGAAGAATAGCTTCAAAACAGTTCTTCCATTTATCATCACTGTAGGAAAAACGTGTAACACTTGGGTTGATTTTTCTCCTACTGTTAATGATCTGGAAAGTCTTGCATGCCCAAATGCATTAATCCTGGTGCATGTTCAAAGGCTGAATAAATATGGATGAATAAATATGGATCCATATGTGTTTGCCATGTAGATATTATGTTATGCAAACAAAAATAATATTAGGCTTGCTGCCAAAAACTAGAGGCCCTGTACACTGGTTGCTGCAGTTTCCAAGGGTGGGCAACTCTCACAATCTCATCCTTCAGAAGCAGGAAAAAGTGTGTTGGTGATGGATCCAGAAGGAGCATCAGGGTCACCTGCTTGGTACTAAATTGGAAATGGAGCTGCTCCTGCTGCCTGTCCACCTCCACGGGGTTTGCTTACTGTCCCTTAATTATTTCTGCTTAACAAGTGATGAGGATAAGATGAATACATGCATTTATGTTGATCTTTCTGCCATTTAACATTCTCTGTGTGCTTTAGGAGTGGTCAGCAAGGCCAGCCTGGAGCTGTGAGCAAAGCCCAGGTTTAGGCCCAGGGTAGTGACCGAGCTGGAAAATGCTTTCCATGGTTATGAACATATGGACTAGTGAAGGGAAAAACATTTTTGTGGGTGATTTGGTCTGGTTACCCTTTGGTGATGTTTTAAGCAGCAGTAGGTGTGGTTAACAAGTTGGTTTTATGTTTCTCTGTGTCCCCAGATTTATAAGGAGATCCCACAGGCATTTTATTGTCCTTTTCCCCACTGTATTGATTCCATTTTATGGCACAAACATCTTCAGTTCCTGCTCAAATCATTCCAAAGGGGGCACTGGCATTACCACCAAATATTGTAAGATAACTGTGTGTATTAAATGCACAGTCTCTGCCTTGGTGGCTCTGCCTTGGTGAGGAAGGAAGAATTAACTCCTGATTTGCATCCCTGTTGTGCACCATTGCCTTTGATCCAGGTATTCTTAGGCCATTTTAGCTCCAGCACATTCATAACTCTGAAGTATAAAGGGGTTTAGCATGGAATAACACTGAGAATCTTTACAAGTCATGAAATATCTTCTATTTTCAACATATGCTGGAAAGATTAAGCATTGTGAGTAAGAAGAAGTGTCTTCTGCTTTTAAAGTGAAACTGCTTTAGAATGTTCCTGCTGCTTCCACAAACTGGAAGTTGTTTCATTGAAAATGTTACAAATCCATGTTAAACCAGAGTGGGTGAACATTCCCATACATTTACAGGTTTGTTGAGCCAAATTCTGAGCCTCTGCAGAACAGCAGGTGCTTTTGGGCTGTCTTTGGCAGGAATGGAACTGGCCTTTTCTTGGTTAATGATTGATGGATATATATTTCCATCTCCTGGGTTCATTAAAATATTCAAATTGGAGTGAGGGCTCACCACTGAAGAGTTAATCAGATGTTAAGGATGTGAGATGCACATCACGAGCCTTTGATGACTGGAGATGTAGGCAGAGCTGTTGAAGTAAAACCAGAGCTGCCTGGGTACTTTATTCCACAGATACAAAGACAAAAATCTTAAGACTGTCTGCTTGTTAAAGCTGAGGAGAAGAGGGAGGAGCCCATACAAGCATTTTAATGATTTTTGTCTTCTAATCAACATTTTCTTCTGTTTATCTCCCCTGAGACCCAAGACATGAACCTGCAGTGCAATCTCACTTGGCTGTTTTCTGTTCTCCCGTTACTTTGACAAACAGGGCTAATGAAGCACAAGTGATGCCTCAGTACCTCCAATACTTCAGGATTTGGAATGGCTGAGTTAGGAGGAATTTTTCTCTGTCCATTTTCTGTATGTAGTTTGTAGCAAAGAAAAGCATCGCTTGGCTCTGGGATGGAAATTTTGGTCAAAAGCTCTGAGAAACACCAGTTTGGTGGTCAGAGAATTTAGTGGTGAACCAGAGTATTGGTTTCATCTTCAGACAAGAGAAATCAGCTTGTTCTCCCAGCAGCAGCAGACTGACCTACCCTCGAGGTTCTTGCCTGCTCTGAGCTGGAGCTCTCACATGCTTTGGTTGCTGGAAGGGTTTAATTCACATCAGCAATTGTCCAGTGGACAGAGATGCTGCAGATTTGCTCCTGCCCATCTCAGTGAGTGCCTCAGCCAGTGGTTGTAGAGTCAGGCTCCCTGTGCCCCAATAAATATTGCATTGTTTGTACACACTGGAGTGCTGCCAACCTAAAAGATGCTGAGGGAGTTGTGCTGAGGGAGTTGTACTGAGTGGCCCAGAGCCTGGTGCTGAGAGCTCCAAATGTGGGACTGTGAACTTCCCCTCCCAGCCCTGAATGGCCTCGCTGGTGGATGCTCTTGGCTGTGCAGGCTGAGACACGCTCCTTCCCTCCCTGCTTCCTTCCCAATGGCTCAGTTTTCCATGAGAAGCTTCAGGTGACTTTACATTTGGCCCAGCCTGACAGAGGTGATTTCAGAACTGGCAGGACAGGAAATCTCTTTTCTGCCCTGCTCTGGGGCAGCCCCTGTTTGAAGACACCAGGGGATCTGCAGGACATTCCCTGCGGGGCTTGGGCTGTTTTTGATGTGAGGACAGATATGACTTTTCTCAGATATTCACCATGACAGCTCTTGCAATTTGCTAATGGATTTAGGCACTTCCTGCAGCCATATGTGAGCTGTTCATATTAACCTTTGCATGAACAAAACCCTTCACACCCAAACCCATCAAGGCTGTCACATCCAAAGGCCAAGGAAAGACACTAGGACGTGGACTAGGAATAGTAATGACTTTCCAGACTCAGAAGTTGTTTCTGATCTGAAACATATTGATTAAATGTGTGTTTGGCCCAGTCTCAAGCTTTGCTGTGTCCACAGCAAACAACTTGCTGGCACAGCTCTGGCTGCTGCCCAAATTCTCCACCCTCCTTCCCCGCTCACACACTGACACTCATTATCACCTGCTCTCCTGCTCTTGAACCCAAGCAGGGCACAGCCTCCTGTCTGGAGGGGGCATGCAGTGCCACTCCAGTGCTGCCCAGGGCATCTCACCCGTGTCCTTGCCCTCCTTCCATCACACACAGTCCTGTGAATCCTTTTTTGGACCTCTACCCAAGGGGGCACAAGTTTCTGTTTTCATCTTGTTGTGACTGCCCTGATTCTTAGGCTGAGTCAGTGCAAATTGTGACAGGCTTTAGAAAAGACCCTCTTTCCATCCCTTCTTATTTCCCCAGCTGCTCACTGCCAACCTGGCTGGTTTTCTTCGTAATAAATACCCAAATCCATCTGTGAGCCTTCCTGCTTCCCTGGAAGCTCAGAACTTCTTTGACTCACTTCCCAAGTGCTTTGTGCAGTCCTAGCTTTGGGAAGAGCATATCCTATCAAACCCTGGAGTACCTGAAGCCTGGCTCTTTAAAGCTGGGAGCTGTAATCACCAGGCACCTGACCTAGATTGAGCAAAGACTGGGAGCAGAGTAGATACGAGGCTCCAAGGAAGTGAGGGAGTAATGTGGAGGAGTGGATGTGGGTAAAGGTAGCTTTTTTTGTGTGTGTTAGAAGAGTTATTTTTAGAGGCACGCTCGTAGTTGTGGGATGGAAATATGGGATGGGCTGGGAGGCCTTTGTTTCCACGAGTTATCCATGGCTGTTGAACTAGGAGGTGTTGTGGGGTTGAAGGGCAGTCCCTCTGTGCATGAGGGAAAGTAAAGGAGCAGTAAGGCAACTTCTGAAACCACATAGGATGATTTCTGACCCCCTCTAACTTCTTCCTTCTTTTCTGCCTGGGTTGGATCCCTGGGATCCCTCCAGCTCTTGCTGTGGAGCAACTGCTGGAAGAAGACACTCGTTGTAGCATTTCTGTTGAAGGCTATAAAAGGTCTGATGGCCTTTGTTGCTGTTTCTCTGTGGGTAAAGAGCACTGGGATGGGCAGCTGGAGGTCTGTCAGTGCTGGTTTGTGTCCTCTGAGGAGCACTGGGGAGGCTCTGTGGGGGCACAGAGGGCTTGGAGGTGTTGCTGCTTGTGGAAACATCTCCTTGACTGGAGAAGTTGGTTTTGGGTGTGGGTTTTTATTTTCTCCTCTCCATTTCAGCCAAAGGCCTACGGTGAGAGCTCAACTTTGCCTTGCTGTGTTTTTCTGTCTGGCCAGTCAGTGCCTGTGTGTGTGACCTGCAGGTGACTGTCACCTTGCCAGGCCACAGGGGAGCGGGAGGGGGGTTTGCTGAGGCAGGAAAGGTGGAGGGAATGGAGATAATACAGGGTGAAGGATCAAGTGTGTGGAAGAGGTGGGCCCTCTGAGGTGTGTAGGGTGTTGATTTGTAGGAATAAAACCTTTATTCGCCCCCTGATGGAAAAACCTGTCCAGAGGGAGTATTTTCCAGCAGCTTGGAGGCATCTCCAGTGATTAGTGCTCTCTGGTGGACTTGCTGAGTTGGGATGTACCTCCAGCCAAGCCCCTTTGGGGGGGGATGTGCTGTTGTGTTACACAATCACAGACCAGGTCAGGTGGAAGGGCCCACAGTGTCCCAACTGGTGCCACCTCCCTGCTCCAGCAGGGCCATCCCATGGCACAGGGGTGCATCCAGGTTCTGCAACATCCCCAGTGAGGAGGCTCCACCCCCTCTCTGGTCTCTGTTCAGTCACTGCACAACAAAGAAGTTCTTCCTCGTGTCCAGGTGGAACTTCCTGGGCATCAGTTCCTGCCCATTCCTCTTGTGCCATTGCTGGCCCCCCCCAGCAGAGCCTGGTCCATCCTCTGCCCCCTCCCTGCAGCCCCTGATGGACATTGGGGACGTCCCCTCTCAGTCTTCTCTTCTTGAAGCTGAACAGGCCCAAATTTAGGGGTGAAAAACACGGTTTTCTGTAACATGTGCTGTGCCCAAAGCGAGGGTCTGGTCAGAGCTGAGCAGGAGCTGGTCAAGCACATCCCTGTGTCAAACCTGCTTCTTCCTCCTGGGCCCACAGACCTTGACATTCCTGCTCCTTTTGCAGAAGAGAACAAACAATCCCCTTTTGTCATTAGTAGAATTGCAAAATGGAAGCAACTGTCCATCAAAGAGCAGCTCATCTCCATGGCTCTGATGGCCAAAAATGCCACTGGGAAAAAAAGAGATTTCTAATCTCTTAATTTGGAAGTTTGCTTCTGTTTGGGTAGGGCTGCTTTACTTCCATTGACTTCAAATGAAAACAGGGATCTGAGGCACATTTGGAAATTGGTTACAGGTGCCAAAGCCAATTAACATGGTCTTGAAATCAATCTCCTTTGCTTTTACCTCTTTGTTCCCATTTTTTGCCTACATCTTTGACTTCCAAATGTACATGTTTTCATTTGGCACTGAATTTGTATTGAAACTCCTGTCAATAATTTAATACTAAATAATCTATAATAAAGAAATATATATTATAAATATAATATAACAATGATATATAATATATATTAATATAGTACAGTATAGTATAGTATAGTATAATATAATATAATATAATATAATATAATATAATATGGAGAGATCTGTGGCCATTCAGTGTTTGTGATCTGCAGGTGACTGTCACCTTGCCAAGTCACAGGGGAATGGGAGGTGGAGTTGCTGAAATAAATGGTTTAGATGAAATAAATATATCACATAAATAATAACTACAAATATATAATATATAAACAGTAGAAACATATATTTGTATAAATACATAATTAATAAATAGAAAATAAATAATGAATATGAAATAAATATATAAGATAGATGAAATAAATGGTTTAGTAAAACTGTGGAGACTAAGTTTAATTTCTCTGTAGGAGGTAAGACATGAAGCTGAGATCCCAAAATCTGCCCCATGGATCTGAGGCACAAATCTTATTGCTCCTGCCAAGAGGGAATGGGGTTTTCTCCCTGAATCAGACACCCAGTGAAAGGAAAACAAATAAGACTGTGGCTGTGGAAATTGAGAAAATGGAGGAGAAAGAGTGAAGGAGGAAGCGATGGAATAAATGATAAATAAATAATTTCCTGTCAGTGTTTGCAAGCTTTCTGTGCTGACTGTTAATCCCCAAGATATCCTCTTGTTTCAAGTTCCTGGATGAATCGTGAAGCACTTCTTTTTCCATGTCAATAATTACTGGAATATGTGATAGCAAGTTTAAATATGCCCTTAGAGCAAAATTTCAGCTTCAAAATTCCTGCTGGAAAATTGCATGGAAAGAGTGGGGCGAAAAAAACCAGAATGAAGGCAAATAGAATTCCCAATTTTGAAAAAAAAAATTACTTCCAGTGAAATAATAATGAAATTCCTCTTTGTGCTCCAGTAAAGTTTCAGCTCGGGGAGTGGAAAAGGGTGTGAAGTTGGTACCTGGAGCTGTTCATGCGACTTGATCCCCCTGATTTTTGTTCTCTTGCAGGACGACACTGAGCCCTACTTTATTGGAATATTTTGTTTTGAGGCTGGGATAAAAATCATCGCTCTGGGGTTTGTTTTTCACAAAGGCTCTTACCTGCGGAACGGCTGGAACGTGATGGATTTTGTCGTGGTCCTCACAGGGTAGGTGACATCTCAGTCTGACTTTAAGGGGGACTCTCACTCTGATTTGTGTTGGTTTTTACCTGTGGGTTGGGGTGGGATTGATTGGAGGGAAATATTATATCCCTACATTTCTGACTGCGGGATTTGTTGTGCTGAACGAGTCGCTTTTAGAGTGTTGGAACCAACTAAAAAGTGGTTTTCCTTAAGGATATTTATTTGTAGGTGTTCTGGTGTGTATCTTACCCAGACTCTTCCTGACATTTCCCTGGCTTTGCAGGTTCTGTTTGCCAGTGGTACTTGAGCCTGATTTAAACCAATCTATTTTCTGGCATTACAGGATGACTTTAAAAGTCAACATAGAGCGTGCTAACAAATTAAAAGCATCCCATTTTTAAGCTGTTACAACTCTGAAATCAGCAAAGTTTTTGCAGGAGTGGATTTATTCTGCTATCAAATAACTTTTCAGAACAGAATTCAAAGATACTTGAAAAGAATTCAAAATGTCTTATTAAGGGAAATGTCACCTGTGTATTTTGTGCAGTGGTTTGAAATGATGTCACTGGTTTCTTTCTTGGAAATGCTTACAATATTTTACATTAGAAACTGTTGTAATATATATTTATTTATATGAATGGAGGGTATAATGGAAACACAAATATTAAGTAGCATTTGTAGTCTACAAATTGGGCTTTAAAGCACCGAAGGAAATGTTCCCTGAGGTCCTGAGCTTGCAGCCTTCAGCTTGGAAGGATTTCAGTCAGTTTTCCCCCAGCCTGGTATTAATATGCTTCCCAAATCCTTCCTTTCCCACAGCTTCTCTGCTCCTGTGTGTGAATGTGTCTATATTTTCTGGTTAGTGGTGGAGAGCAGGGAAATGCCTGCATGCATATACAAATGTATTCATTAGCCACATTATCACTGGAATTCTCTTTGCATTCAGGGCACCATGTGATCCAGCAACTGAGAGGCCAAAGGGAATCCTTTATGCATTGAGAGGAAGAGAATAAATATGTGGGGTTTGATTCTCCTGCTGCTGGGCTGGGGATTTAATCAATAGGAACTTCAGTGGAGTCACGAGGAGAATCAGATTTACATACTCAGGAGCACGGGGGGTACCAGGATGAGAAGAGAATTAGCACAGATGCTACAATTATTCACACCCATGGCATGTGCTGATTCCTAGTCAGTTCTATGCCCTTCTGTGAGTTTAAAAAAAAAAAAAAATTAAAAAAAATCAAGGCCCTGATTCTGGAAGGCACTTTGGAATGTGTTTTAATTTATCCTTCAACAAAGCATTCAAGTACACCTTTGAATTCAGCTGACTCCAGCGGTTCTGTGCTCAAAGTTAAGGCTCTACAGAAAAGCTTTTCTGAACTCCAGCCATATTGTTTAGGCAGGGCTTTTTTATTTTCACATAAACACATGCCAGGAATCAAGAGATGTTTGGTTTCTTTACAAGTGAGACGCTCAAAGTTTTGCAGGAGCAGCTGAATCGTCGCTCGTGGAATCACCACGGGCCGTGAGACGCCGAGCGCCGGCGTCTGAGCGGAGCTGGGTTTATTGGGGGAGCTGTTTGCAGCTCTGTTTGATCTGGGAGCATAATTGAGGACTATCAGCTCGATTAGGCAGCTGGACCGAGGAGCCCTGTTCCCTCTGCAAACAGGCGTGTTCCTCTCCAGCACAGTCCCGTCCACGTCAGAGCTGCTGGTTTCCAATGGTGACACCAACCGGGCTCTGGGGAAGCCGCCTCGTACAGGGGCTTCCCACCGGGCAGGCAGTGCAGGGGTGGCAAAGGCTCAGCTCAGCACCACTGAGTCCAAGAATCGTCTCCCCAGACCTTTAATCCTCTAATTCGAGGGCTGGATGTAACATTTTTGGTGCTTGGGGGAAGGCTCCCGAAAATCCCGGAGTTCCTCGTGTGCTGGGTTGGATTCCTTCCTGAGCGTGGGGCTGCACTTCCAGCCCAGGAACGAGCTGGAGGGACCTACAGTAGAGAAACAGCACTGCAAGATCTGCAGCTTCACACAGGGGACTGAATTAGTGTTTTCTCTGTAGCCTGTGGTGTTTTGCTCTGCATTTCCAAGATCCTTATTGTGTTCTTAGCTCGCTCCTGTGTTGCCATGGGGCTGTGCTGGAAAGCAGGAGCTCCTCTTCCTTGGGCTTCCTTCACTGCCCAGAAACCTTTTCATCCCTCCTCTGCTTGCCTACGCTTGGGGCTTTGATTTAGGGGCTTGGGGAAGCCAGAGCAAGGTTGTTTATTTGAGACAAACATCCCCTTTTTTCTCATTTGAGACAAACCTCCTCAGTTCTGCCTTGAGACTGAAGGCAGGTTGTTGAGGAAGAACATTTGCTGCTGCCAAACCCGGCTGGTTCTCCAGGGAGGGACTGAGAGGTGGTGACATGAGTGGGAACTTAATTTTCACTTCTGTGGAAGGGAGACTCAGATCTGTGTGTTTCAAAAAATGATCGGGCTGTAATTTATTAGGGAATAATAAAAGAGGACAGTGCTAAGCCAGTACTTAATGTGTTCTTATAAATATAGATAGGTAGGACATCAGTTTTTTTGAAATACCATTTTACTACTCTATCAAAAGCTTTCCTTTGCCATATGTGCAAGGCTTCTACTTGGAAATGTTACTTCATGTTTCCCAGGCAGTGATCAGTGTTCAGTTCCCAAGCTCAGTCTCACATTGATTTTAATATTTCAGAGGGATTTTGACTTCTCTCTCTTTTTTTTTTTTAAATTTTATTTCTGTGTAAGCATGAAAGATCATGAAAACGTGTTTCATGACACCACACACAGAGCTGTGTACCCGCTAATCCTGTTGAGTGCCCGTTTTTATTGAGGGAAATGCTGAATGTCAGAAAATCTGATCTCATTTTCAGCTTTTAGCTAAACCCCACAAAAGCAAAGAGCAGCTTTGCTCTCGTTATCTGTTTCCATAGGAAAAAGGGCAGAGTCTGGGTGTGTTTTGGAGGAGGCTGTGGGGGAAGGCTCTGCATTGATTGAACTCACCCTTATGTAAATACTACAGTGATCATGCAGAAATCCTTCCCACCTGTTTTTTCCAACCCCCCCCCATTTTTTTTTTTTTGCCTGCACCCTGGAATTATCGATAAATACATTTTTTTATCTCCCTGCAACAATGGAGATTTTGTTCGTCAAAACCCAGGCAGCAGAAGTTGTTAATCAGAAAATCCAGCAGGGCTGTGTTTTATGCAGCCAGGATCAATATCCCACTGAGCTAAACCCGAGTCTAACAGACAGTGGCCCAAAATGGCTTGGTTGTCGTTCCAGAAAACCCTCCCTCGGTTTCTTTCCACAGTGGGGCCTATTCCTCATTTGCTTCCAAGGAATCCTGCTGGCTTGCTGTTAATAAAGGCCTGGGAGAAGAATAGATTGCTGCTTCTTGAAAAGATTTCAGTCCCTTTGTCGTTTTTTTAGTGATTTCTGGTGGACTCCTCTGGCTGCAGACGAGCACCCAGGAGAGCTGCCCTGCTGGGATGTGCCTGTTGCTGTTGTGGAGAGAAATACATGTATTTTATAGCTCCTGCTCACTTCATTTGCACATTTTTAGGGGATTGGGTTCACTCCAGTGATGACATCACCCATTAGCAGCTCTAAATCACCCCAAATTGCAGTTTCTCAGCTGGCCTGGGACTGTATGATCTTAATGCACTTTTTCCAAGGTAGAGGCAAAGGGACTTTTTAACTCTGTCGCTGCAACGTGTTTTGGGTTGGAATCCTCAGAAATCCATAGTCGTCTTGGGAACAAAGTTGTCCTATCCCCAAACTCCTCAGATGGCAGTGGATGGAGATATGAGCCTGGATAGGGGGCCTGGAGGGTCCAGGCCTGTTCCTCTTGGAGTTCATGGGAAGTTTTCTCCTGGGCTTTGGTTACAACAATCCAAAAAACTGCTATGCTGAATTTACCTATAAACATCCTCTCCAGCTGGAGCTGGTGTCACAGGCTGACTGCTGAGGACAAGGCATGGCTAAAATGATCCTGAGCTTTCTGGTTCCCAAAATTCAGATGTCTAGGGATTTTTGAGGTGGAAAAAAAAGGATCTTTTAAAAGGGCTTTTAACCTGTGTGGTCCAAGGGGTCTGTCCTCCTTGGTTGTATTTTGGAGCTTGTTTATACTTTTGCTTTCATTGTATGGTGGGTAACGGGTCCTATGGTTTAATTACATATCACAACAAAGGTGCTGCTTATCCCTTTTTTTTTTCCAGCACCAGCTACCTGAGTTTTCCTTCGGTGCCTTGTAGATTTTGTACAGTAGAGTTTGAATAATAATAATTCAATTTTTTGCATGTTTATGGTTTTAATAAAGTCCAGCATTTCTCCAGTCAGAGATTTATGCTGCCCAACCTCCCTTGACCTGAGTTTTCCGTGCTCCTTTGCTCTGGTCCTTTCCCAGTTCCATCACATCCCCTTGGAGTGCCCACAACCGTGTCTGGTGCTTGTCCAACGCCAGGAGTTGCTAAAACTGCAGCGCTTGAAAGGATCCTGCCCTGTCCTTTCTGAGCAGAATTAATTCCTTTTGGCTTCCAATCAGCCTGGATTAAACACTCTCGAAGAGTCCTGGTGGCTCCTTGAGCCAGTTGGATCAGCTGCCTGGATCTCTGGGTGGGACTGGCAGAGACAGCGTGTGCCAGGCCCGGAGCTGCCAAATGATGTGCCCAGAGTCTCGGGGCTCTTACGAGTGTCTCAGGCTGTCTGGAACAAATTGCAAAAAAGCTGGAATTATCCTGATTGTCTGAGCAATGTGCTCCCAGCTCCTGGTGACGCTGATGATTTGGAAGGTAACTCGTTTAGTAACGTAACAGGGACCTGCTCAGCCTTGATGTTCGCTCTGCTGGTTACCAGGATCATCCTGCTATGTGGGCAGTGGGAGCTGCTATTCCTGGTGCAGTGCATGAGGAGCAGCAGCTCCTGGGTTGCAGTGATGGCTGTCAAAGTGGGAGGCAGAGGAACCACCCAGCCTGGTCTGTGCAGCGGGTTGTGGACCTCTGAT